CTCACAAAGCAGAGGCGAGACACACTTTTCACCACCTTCCCAATCCAAACCACCACCAAAATCATCATGATCATCATGATCATCACCATCATGTTTCTTCTTCTCCGATAGTGCATCACAACGCAGAGAAATACGGCGTGGAGGAGATGAAAACCGAGGCGCATCCCGCAAAATTGGTGAGAATGCACTCTGCTTCAGCGGCACAGCCGGTTGACTATGCACTTAAGGAAACTAGCCCTTTCCTCGGAGGCGGGAGGGTGGTTGGCGGGCGGGTAATTCGTGGAGACAAGACCGCGAGTACTTATGATCTCGTCGAGCGGATGTATTTCCTCTATGTAAGGGTAGTCAAGGCTCGCGATCTTCCTGCAATGGATGTCACTGGGAGTCTTGATCCGTTTGTGGAAGTGAAGATCGGAAACTATAAGGGAATCACCAAGCATTTTGAGCACAGGCAGAACCCTGAATGGAACCAGGTTTTCGCGTTCTCGAAAGATCGAATGCAGGCTTCTGTGCTTGAAGTTGTGATCAAGGATAAAGATCTTGTTAAGGATGATTTTGTGGGGATTGTGAGGTTTGACATTAACGAAATTCCTCTCAGAGTTCCACCGGATAGTCCTTTAGCCCCTGAGTGGTACAGGCTTGAGGACAAGAAGGGGGAGAAGATCAAAGGCGAGCTAATGCTCGCGGTGTGGATTGGAACACAAGCTGATGAGGCCTTCTCCGACGCGTGGCACTCCGATGCAGCCACCCCCGTCGACTCCACCGCCGCCATCTCCGCTGTTATCCGCTCAAAAGTCTACCACTCTCCCCGATTATGGTACGTCCGTGTCAATGTAATTGAAGCGCAGGATTTAGTCCCAACGGAGAAAAACCGCTTCCCGGACGCTTATGTCAAGGTCCAAATAGGCCACCAAGTGTTGAAAACAAAACCAGTGCAAGCCCGAACACTTAATGCCCTTTGGAATGAAGATCTTCTCTTCGTCGCCGCCGAGCCTTTCGAGGATCATTTAGTGCTCACCGTTGAAGATCGGGTTGGACCGGGGAAAGATGAGATCATAGGAAGAGTGATAATCCCATTAAACATTGTGGACAGAAGAGCTGATGACCGGATGATCCACTCTCGGTGGTACAACTTGGAAAAGCCGGTGGTCTTCGACGTCGATCAGCTGAAGAAGGAGAAATTCTCGAGCAGAATTCACCTCAGAGTTTGTCTCGATGGAGGATATCATGTCCTTGACGAGTCGACTCACTACAGCAGCGATCTTCGTCCCACTGCTAAGCAGCTATGGAAGCCGTCGATCGGGGTTTTGGAACTCGGAATTCTCAACGCCATCGGGCTTCATCCGATGAAAACCCGCGACGGCAGAGGGACTTCCGACACCTACTGTGTGGCGAAGTACGGCCAGAAGTGGGTCAGAACAAGAACTCTGGTCGATAACTTGTCTCCCAAGTATAACGAGCAGTACACCTGGGAAGTCTTCGACCCCGCAACTGTTTTAACCGTCTGCGTGTTCGACAACAGCCAGATTGGCGAAAAGGGTTCCGGCTCCAACAAAGATCTGAAAATCGGTAAGGTTCGGATTCGAATTTCGACGCTCGAAACGGGGAGAATCTACACGCATTCGTATCCCCTGCTTGTTCTTCACCCAACTGGGGTGAAAAAGATGGGAGAATTGCATTTGGCGATAAGATTTTCATGCACGTCGTTTGCGAACATGTTGTACACATACTCAAAGCCTCTGCTTCCCAAGATGCACTACGTCAGGCCTTTCAGCGTTATGCAGCTCGACATGCTCCGCCACCAGGCGGTTAACATCGTCGCGGCGAGGCTCAGCCGGGCGGAGCCGCCGCTGAGAAAGGAGGTGGTGGAGTACATGTCGGACGTGGATTCCCATCTCTGGAGCATGAGGCGGAGCAAGGCGAACTTCTTTCGCCTCATGACTGTCTTTTCAGGGCTTTTCGCGGTCGGAAAATGGTTCGGTGACATATGCATGTGGAGGAATCCTTTTACCACGATTCTCGTCCACATTCTCTTCCTCATGTTGGTTTGTTTCCCGGAGCTAATTTTACCGACGGTTTTTCTCTATATGTTCCTAATAGGAGTGTGGAATTACCGGTACCGTCCCAGGTATCCTCCCCACATGAACACAAGGATTTCTCAGGCGGAGGCGGTTCACCCCGACGAGATGGATGAGGAATTCGATACTTTTCCGACGAGTCGGAACCCGGACATTGTCAGGATGAGGTACGACCGGTTGAGAAGCGTCGCCGGGAGGATTCAAACAGTGGTCGGCGACGTGGCAACGCAGGGGGAGAGGGTTCAGGCGCTGCTGAGCTGGAGAGATCCGAGGGCTACTGCCATGTTTATTACGTTTTGCCTTGTTGCTGCTTTGGTGTTGTATGTGACGCCGTTTCAGGTGGTGGCAGCCTTGATGGGGTTCTATGTTATGAGGCATCCGAGGTTCCGCCACCGCCTGCCGCCCGTTCCCGTCAACTTCTTCCGCCGTCTGCCCTCTAGGACTGATAGTATGTTGTAAATGTTGGTGGGATTCTGTTTTGTCGATCTTGTTTGTAAGGATTCGTTCACTTATTTGGATATGTTTTCTTTGTACTTTTATTGTTGTTTGATGTGGTACTAACTTGACTACAATGTTTATGTTGTTGTTGGGTCTATGGATAATTGTTTTGGGCCATTTTTGGCACGTCGTGGAAGAGCAAATTCTCAAACGAGGAGAGTTTGTGCATTTTTAGTGCTCTGTTTTATGGTTTTGAGCTCACCATTTGAAAATTTTCTGAAGATAAACTTGTAATCTGATAGTAAAAGAGAACAAACATCAAAAACCAACCCATTAAAAAGATAAAA